TGCCATAGGTCCTGAATTAGTATTTTTGCTGTTACGAGTACTGGACCTAGTAGTCCCAATGGGTCGAAAATTTTGGCTAGGTTCGAAGTAATGGTTCTTTTAGTAATGATTTTTAGTGGATCCAGTTTTAATTTTATGCGAAATTGATCTTCTTTTGGTTGCCAAGTCAATCCTAATGTTTTGATTGATGTTGCGTCGTCACTTTGAAAGTCCAAATCAACTTCTTGATCTTCTTTTGCAATATTTTGAAGAAGTGACGGATGGTTGGCACACCATTTACTTAGCTTGAATCCTGCTGATTCCAACAAACCTTTTAACTGAGTTTGTATATCTTTGGCAGTTTGGAGACTATTTGATCCACTTAGGCAATCATCTACGTAGAAGTCATTACTTAGTGCTGCTGCACCTAGTGGATATTTTTGCAACTCAGATTTCGCCAACTGTTGTAAGCATTTAGTAGCCAGATATGGGGCTGATCGTGTTCCATAGGTGACTGTTTTTAATCGATAAAATTGTAAGGGTTCGTTAATATTGCTTCTCCAGACTATTAATTGATATCTTTGATCTTCGGGCTGAATAATAATTTGTCTGTACATTTTTTGAATGTCAGAACAAAAGACAAATCTTGGGCACCTGAATCGAAGTAAAATCGCAAACAATTCCTCTTGAATTGTAGGGCCAGTAAACATTGTATCATTTAACGATAGTCCACTACTCGTCTTGCACGATGCATCAAATACCACTCTTAATTTCGTGGTGCTGCTATCGGGCCGTAAAACGCCATGATGTGGGATGACATAATGAGGATTAACTTGGTTGATGTCAACCCTTTCCATGTGTCCGAGATCAGCATATTCATTCATGAACTGTACATACTGTGTTTTGAGTATTACATCCTTATCGAGTCTTCTTTCCAACGCTAAAAACCTGTTAATGGCAATGTGTTTTGACTCACCAAGCAACGATGGATCTTGCTTGAAGGGTAATCTGACACTGAATCGACCGTCTTGATTCCTTTTCATATAAGTTGCAAAATGAGACTCGCACAACTCTTCGGAAGGAGACAGATTTTTGTTTGCCTTTTCTGGTTCATCTAGTTGCCAGAACCGCTCGATAACCTTCATCGTATCTTGCTCATCTTCAGAGCATATTCCACAAACTTGTGGTGAAATAATTGAATTTTGGTTAGATATTTTTCCCACCACAAGCCACCCAAGCAATGTGTTCTGTAGGATGGGGAGACCTCTGCCAAGGTTTATTTGGCCGATGGACAATAGTTGATGAGAAAACTCAGCTCCAAGTAGGAGATCGATTTTGTTTGGGGTATTGAACGACGGATCTGCCAGATTGATGTTCTGTGGTATTTTCCAGCTTGAGCTTTCAATATGAATGCTCGGCTGATCACACACAATCTTAGGTAATACATAAGCCTCTATTCGGCTGCTAAATCCGTTAATTCTGGACGAGAAAGCTAAATTGATTCGTTGTTGCGCATCTTGTTTTTTTTGCCCCACACCTTCTATACATGCTGAGGTCTTTTTCGGGTTTTCACCTAACTTCTTAATTATTTGATCGGTTATCAGGTTGACTTGGGAGCCGGAATCCAATAATGCTCTGCACTCAATTTCTCTTCCATTGTTGCCTTTAACGACAACACGTGCAGTTCCTAATGCCACATAATTTTTTTGGATGTTGAGATTGTTGGAGAACAGAGAAGCAGGATTTTTTGATAATGATGCCTTCTTAATCATGGATGCTTCAAGTGTGCCTTCTAAATGCAGCAAGGTGTTGTGTTTCTTGCTGCATTTTAAGCAACTGCCTGATGTGCAGTCTTTTGTGAAGTGACCATTTTTTAGACAATTGAAACATCGTTGCAATGATTTTATGAGATGTAGCCTCTTAGCTGGGGTGTCATCCAGGAACTGCTTGCATAGATGAATTGGATGATTATCTCTCTTGCATATTGGACATTTAGCTGGTGCAGTGTTAGTTGTAGCCACTGTCTTAACCCATTTTTTAATTGATGCGCTATTATTTATTGTTTCTAGCGATTGGAACCTTTGTTCAATAAATTGAAATAGTTCCTTCATAGTGATCAGCTCTCGATTGTTTGATAATGACTGCTCAAATGCTGTTTGTGTGATCTTGTCTAATTTCTTCAACGTCATATGAACAATTATGACGTCCCAATGTTCGACTGGAATGTTCTGCGCCTTAAGTCCCAATAAACACTCTTGTGAAATGTCATGCAATGTTTTAAGGCCAGAAGCGGTTTCAGTTGTCATTGCTGGTAATGCGAATAATTTGTTTAACAATGCGGTAACTAATAATCTACCATTATTGTATCTAGCCTTCAGAATCTCCCATGCGGTAATGTAGTTCTCAGCTGATGCTGGCAAATGCTTTATCAGGTTTTTGGGCTCACCAATCAAGTTAGTTGTTAAGTAGAACATCTTTTGGATAGGTTTGAATGGTTGTTCGTCTATAAGTTGTGTAAACAGGTCTCGAAACTCTACCCACTTCAGCTGGTTTCCGTCAAATATTGGAATTGTTAACTGTGGTAATTTTACTGCCTGAATTGTTGAATCGTGCTGGTAGTGAGAATTGAATGATTTTAGCTTGAGTTTCAAGCAAATCTCCATGTCTTGGAGTTTTTGACTAATTTCATAATACAATTCCCAGGAGTACCCTTCAATGAATTCTTCTGATGTAGAATTCCATATTTTTTCATTGTTGTTATCGAATGCTTTGTGATAACCTTCTATCAAAGCAAGCTTGCAAGAATAAAAAACTTCATTTTGAGATTCTTGGCTTGCCATTTCAATTTCTTGACTGGATCTGTCAATGACATTTATGAGTGCTCGTTGATTACGCAACACTCTTGATATTTCTTCATTTTGTTGAAGCTGCATTGGATTTTGATTGTGTTGCCTTGGCGGCTTTTCCTGAGCATTTTCTACCTCTTGCATTTCGATTAATGCCTTGTTAAAAATACCCAAGTATTTGTTTGTCAATTCAGTCATTTTTTCATAGTAGCCCGTGGTGAAATACTCGTCTTCTGTATCTTCAGCCATAGCTTTACAAGATAATAACGTGTTGTGGTTCTTCTCTAACCTTGACCATTGTTCAGTTAACCGTAGAATTCTATCCTGATAATAGCGATTCGTCTTCCTTGAGGCTGGATCCTTCTTGAAGTTGCTGATTATCCTCTCGATCTCAGCTCCTATAGCTTGTTGTTGATCAATAAGTGTGTTGAAATGCTCCATGATAATGCCGTTCCTATTTATTGTCCTTATAGGAATATCACGTCGGGGTCACCAAAATATGTTGAGAATGCTTTTATTCTCAAGGTTCTATCAATTTGTATTTGTATACCGGAATTCCACCAAGCACATGTAACTTGTTGGACGGTATATTTGTATACTTTTTATATTCTTGAAGATACCACCGAGCACATAAACCCGTTGGTAATTTTATGAAAAGAAGATAAGTTCTATTCAAATTTGTATCATCGAATACACTTTATTAAAAGAATTGATTTATTTATATACATTTTTCTTATAATAATTACTTACTAAAACTTATTACGTACAATAATTTACTGACCCAATTTAAAACAATAATTAATATCAAGCAAAAAATATTACTTATAATGACACATAAAATATTCAGCAAAACAATAAATAATTAATAGCAAGCAAATTACATAACATATTTAGCAAACAATGAATAATAAATTATTTAAAATGTGTTCTTGCCCTAGTTATAAAATAAACACTAATCAGCAAAAATATAACCTATTAATATATTACGATTACGTTAAATGCATTTTATCATGGGTCAGCAAAAGACAAAATAAATGTAATACTTAACACCCTCTTCTAACCACCGTTCCAATAAATTGATCTCATGTGAATATGTTACAATGATTTTCCAAAAGGTGATGTCTAATTCTGCAGGATTGTCCTTAGATGGTACGTAAAGCCATTTGATGTTTTTGGTAATTTCTTGAATTGCTGATGTACGATTTGCTACAAAACAATTAAGAGATGAATGCATTTGTAGCCACTGCAATACCACCTCAGAATCTGTCCAAAAATATACTGAATTCACGAATTGTTCAACGTTGGATATGATTTTATTCCATGTTCTACTTAATAGGAGTGCTGCACACAGTTCAAACCTCTGTAGGGACTGTGCCTTAATCGGCGCTACTTTTGATTTAGCAATTAAAAGAGTTACATTCCACGTATCATTCAATCTTGTACGCATATAAATGCAACAACCGTACGCACGCTGTGAAGCATCGGAAAATCCGTGAACTTCACTCTTAATTTCACAAGCAGTAAAAACATAACGAGGTACATTAATAGAATTTAAAAAGTATAAATCATCTCTTATGTTTAACCATGATGTTAGTAACTTTGGAGGCAGAGTTTCATCCCAACTCAAATTTTGTACCCACATTTCCTGAATTAGAATTTTACATCGTACGATAATTGGACTTAAAAGTCCCAATAAATCAAAAATTTTAGCTACAGTTGATAGAACCGATCGCTTGTATGAATGTCATGATTCGGAATTTCGTATAGGAAACAAAATAAATCACTTTTTGGTTTCCAAATTATGCCTAATGCCTTCGTGATGGGATCTGCGTTCGATTTAATATTGAAATTTTCATCAGTGCTCGACACTACTTTGTCGCAATTAGAACTTCATTTTGCGAGTTGTAATCCAGCTTTTGATAGTAAATTCGTAATTTCTATTTTTTTGTTTAGTAATTCAGCAATAGTATTAGCGCCGGTGAGAAGATCATCAACATAGCGATCTGTTTTTAACGTAGAAGCACCAATTGGAAATTTATGAATATGCATGTCGACAATGTGAAAGAGCGATCGAACAGCCAGAAACGGAGCGGATGATGTTCCATACGTCACTGTATTTAGTTGAAAAATCTGTAATTCAGCATGAGGATTATCTCGCCACAACACTAACTGGAATCATCTATCACGGTTGTCCATCAAAAATTGGCAGTACATTTTTGCAATGTCTGCTGTCAATGCATATTTATGTAATCGAAATGCCATGAGCGTAGTTATCAAATCTTGTTGAATAGTCGGTCCAACCATAAATGTGTCGTTTAGAGAATACTTAGAGCAAGTCTTTGCTGAAGCATCAAACACGACTCGAAGCTTTGTTGTGAGACTTTGAGGCCTTAAAACGCAGTGGTGTGGCATAAAATAGTGTGGCTTCGAAAAATCTACTGCTTTTATATTAGACATGTGCCCTAATGATACATATTCATTCATGAACTCTGAGTACATTTTGTATAAAGCTTTATCTCGTTGCAACCTATGTTCCAGTGAAAGAAAACGTTGTTTAGCTAGATGAAATGATTTTCCTAAAACATCGAGGTTGACTTTAAAAGGTAATCTTACTTGAACTCGCCCATTTTCGCTGATTGTTACTGTTTTGATGTAGTGCTGTTCGCAATTTTTTTCCTCTGCGCTGAGTTGCGGGGAGCCTATTTTGTATTCTTCTAATTCCCAAAATCGTTCGAGGAATGTGTCTTCATTGTGTGATTTTTGAGTAAAGATGCATTCAAATGATTTAGAACATAAGTCTGTGCTATGCGTGCGTCCTGCTACCCAGCCAAAATCAGTGTTAATTAAATATGGCATGTCTTTGCTTAACGAAATTTTGCCCTCAAGTAATAAATCAAAAAATATTTCTGCACCAATCAGCATGTCCAGTTGACAAGATCTATCGAATAATGGATCCGCAAATTGAATATTAGTAGGAATTTGAAATTTTGTTGCATTAATGTAGGCTCTATGGTTTCCGGAGGAAATAGATTTTGTAATTGTGAACTGAGAAGACTATTCAAAATCGGACGTGCGAGATTGCACAGTTGCAAATACATTATAATTGAAATGTGTTTTCAAATTGGAAATACCAAAGACTTCTTGAGTAGAGTTTTGCCATTTTAAATGCAATAATTTGGCTGTTTCCTCTGTAATAAAGTTTAATTCGGAACAGGAATCTAAAAGTGCTCGCACTGGATACTTAAGCCCAAACTTGTCCATAACAAATACCAGAACAGTATTAGTAATAATGTTACAGCGCTATTAGATTGTTGTAGCTGTCCTTGCTCTTGAATTGCAATACTTGGACAACTAATTGATGAACTAGTCAAAGTATTTGTAAATTTGTGTAAATGAGTATGACGTGATGAACGACAAATTCTGCAACGTGATTCGGATTTACAAAGCGTTGAGAAACTGGCGTTGCTAAAAACGAGGGGCATTTTCCTAAAAAGTGGTCAGCTGCCTTGCAAAATTCACAATCAGATTTGACACTGAGATGCGTTTGTGATACTCTTCTTGTTACGGTATTAAAATTGTTTCGTAATTTATTTTCGGAAGTATTAATGGACGTAGCTCGTCCTTCAAGAAATTGACAGCGCCGACTTAACATCTTATAACATTCATCCTAAGAAGGCATTTTTTCAAATTCTGGCTTTTCGTCATGTGCCAATTTTGTATCCGCATCAACTTTATTTAGGACTATATAAATTAAAATAGCATTCATAACTTCTACTTCTGAGTCCAATGAAAGCAATGATGATCTTAATGCTGCAACAGTATCAATTAATTTACGTAGAGAAGTCGGATCAGCTTTAGTCATTCCTGGAATATTAAAGAGTTCAGTAATGTGGTCTAAGAATATTAATACCTTATTATTAAAACGTTCTTTCAATCGTGCCATAGCCTTTGGATAATTTTCTGCTGTAATTTGAAAGACTTCGATGACTGCAAGTGCAGGGCCTGTAAGACATGATAATAAATAATTGAATTTATCGACATCAGATAAGGTTGGGTCATTGTGCACCAAATGCTTAAATGCTGCGATGAATCGATTGTAGTTGGCATATTTTCCATCAAATTTTGGTTATTTTAAACATGGTAAACGAGAATTGTGGGCAACACTAAAATTGGACGTTGTATTCATCACACTATTTTCAAATGAAGTATTACTTCGAGTTTCTTTAAGCAAATTAAGTATTTTCGCTTTTGAAACAACAAATAGCTCTTCAAAATCAGTTCTGGCATTGTCTTCTGGAGTTACTTGTTCGATCTGTGATTGAATATGGCATAATTGTTTGAAATGAGATTCTAGAATTTGTAGTCGACATTCTAGAATCGTTGGATCTACTTCGTCCTTCTCCTTTTCTATTTTAGATCGGATCGAGGTCATGTTCCTTTTCACCGTTGATCGCTACTGCTTTAAATTATTTAAGTTAAGAGCAGAATTATTACCTATATTGTTCACTGAATTATTAGCCATATTAGCTGCATTATTGCTTGCATTGCTGGTTGTATTGTTATCATTATCGGTATCCATTTTATTGCTAGGACACGTGTCCTGTCACGGTCGCCAAATGTTTCCGCTCTAATAATAAAACGAACGAAATGTTTGAATTCACAGTTTATTTTAGTTATATGAATGTTAATGATAATTTTTAATTCTTTTTTTAGTATTTAAATACACCGAATATACAATATATAATTTTTATAATTGTAACTTTAATTTTTATAATTTAAATACATCAAATGTAGAATAGACAATTGTTATAATTGTAACTTTAAATTTTATAATTTAAATACACCAAATGTAGAGTATATAATTGTTGTAATTGGAACTTTAAATTTTATAATTTAAATACACCAAATTTAGAATATATAATTTTTGTAATTTATTAAAAAATTGATAATTTGCTTTTCACAAAAGGCATCCGTACAATTCGCGCAAAGTAAAAAATAGGTCTGCTGCAACGGGAACCAAGTATCAACTCTCCAACAATACAACAGTAAAAACAAAACTCAAAACGGTCGTTTTGCAAGTGCAGCGAATTTAAGAACTGAATAGTATTTATATACACGGTAGAGCAGTTAAGTTTAATGTTCTGTTTTGCTCCAACACCGTCACTATTAGTTTTTATTTCGGTTTGATTTCTTAAAGGTTCACCAATTACCACTTCTACGTCCACACAACCTGATTGTACTATTTGAAAAATCATTTCATAGTCTTCACCTCACCATCAATTAACACATTTAAATTATATTGACCAATGGGCTTTATTTTATTGTTACTTGTTTTTTTTCTCCAACTCCAACCAAAGATATTTTTGATTTGCGAAGCTTTGCTTTTATTACTGCATATGCCCTACATGGCTTTTCATGCCGCAATTGTAACACAAAATAATTTTGGTTTCTTTTCCTTGTTGTTCCACAGGTTTTTTTTATTACCTTTCAGGTTAACCGCACGATCTTTTTCAATTATAGATTCATAACATTTTAGTTTTTCATTAAACTCTCGTAAGTTTTTCGCGCCATATAAAATAATTTTATTTATATTTAAGTCATTAATGCCGTTAATCACATATTGCATTAGAGCTGCTTCTTCTATATTACCGCATGACGCTAGCCCTTTCATATTGAGAAAATATTCTTGAAAATTTTCACTTTTTTTAATTTTTATATAGGACATTGATTTATGTAGTTCAGCACTATTTATCGATTCTTTGGATTCATTTATCAGAGCGTTTTTTAGTTTGAATCAGTTATTTATACTTCGCTCACTCATTAAGTATGTTCGCGCAAATCCTTTTATTGATCGTTTTGCAAAGCTAAACTTTTGTGAATCGTCCCATTGCATCATAACTGAAATATCTTCAAATTCATTTAGCCAAACATCAACTGATAACAAATCATCTCCACTAAATATTTTTTTTGAATCTGCGACATTACGAAAATTTAATGAGAACCTTGGTGTAACTATATTTTTAAATGCTACTTTTAAATTTTGTTTACATTCCTGTCTTTGTTGTAACTCGTTGTTGCTTTTAATAATTTTGTTTTGCGATGTCATACTTCTTTGTTTCATGTTACATGTTCCTCTGTTTATTTCGTCATCGCTTTCGTCGTATCGATTGTCGCAGCGAATTTCACTCTCTAATTCGCCATCGTCTTCTCTATATTGGTAATTGTTGCGTGTTTCACTATTTGCTTCATCTCCATGTTCGTTGCGTTGAACGATAGTGTCATTTTGATGATCATCTTTATTATCATCAAAATCATCATCGCTTTCGTCGTCGGTGTCGTCAACTGCATTAACGGAACGGAGCAAACCACCCTTACTTAAATTGTTGAATATGTGCACCAACAAGTCGTTAGTCTTGTAGTCAATTCCCATCATGTTGCATATTGTAATTAATTCGTTGTTTTCAAAATTTGCAGTAAGTACTCCTGCAATGACTTACAACCCTCGTCATCTTGGCTAAAGTCAAAGCATTCAAAATTCCTGAGCCGTTGACTGTTATTTCTATCACCTCCACACTGAAAAACAAATTTGTGCAACAGTTCAATATTCTCCTTTCTACCTTTCGACAGAACATGTTGTAGCGAGTCGATTTTGCCCAGCGACGCCATTTCATACAAAACATTTATAAATTTTTCACCACAGCTTGTCCCAATATAGTTTATTTCAATAGTTTATTTCACCACAGTTTATTACAGCACAGTTTTATCTCGGGCGAGCCCCCAAAATATGGGCTTTTATAATTAGTATTTTATCAAATTAAAATTTAGTTGAATGATTAATTAAATTGATACTAAATGTATATTGGATATTTGCGTTAAAGGCGTTAAAGCCTCACCATCGTTCGGATCGTCTGATAATAGAATTATCGGCCGGGAATTTAAAATCGCTTCAGCTTCAATAATCACGGTTTGTAATTCTGCGTAAGTTAGGCTAGATTGCGCCAAATTTTTTAATAATAATGTTTTGAGAGATTTCACCGACGCCTCCCAAAGTCCACCAAAATGAGGTGCTCTTGGCGGAATGAACTTAAACTCAAATCCAGTATTGTTGCTGTACTTTTGCATTTCTCTAAGCCCTTGCTGACTGAAAAATTGTTCTTTAAATTTATTTAGTGGTGTCTTCGCGCCAGTGAAATTTGTTGCATTGTCACAATAAATGCGCTGCGGCAGTCCATGACGTGATATGAATCTTTTTAGGCCTAGAATGAAATTATTAGTGGATAAATCTGATATTAATTCAGTGTGAACTGATTTTGATGAAAAGCAGACAAAAATTGCAATATAAGTTTTATATGGAACTTTACTACGAATACGATATGTGGTATAAAATGGTCCACATAAATCAACTCCTGATATTAGAAATGGCCGGTTTGCAACTAATCGATCGGCTGGCAGCTTCGGTTTATAGTGGAAACAGTGAACGCATTTACGCACTACCTTTCGAGCTACTTCCCGAGCATTAATTATCCATACTTGAGAGCGTATTAGACTAATTAAAACCTTAGGGCCAACGTGCATGTGTTTACGATGTAAGTATTCCACAAAAATTTGAGCAAACCGATGATCACGTGGCAATAAAGCTGGAAATTTTGCATCAAAGCCTATTGGTGCATTGGTCAATCGTCCCCCTACTCGAATTGTATTAAATGTTCCGCTTGTAGTGACCGTTTTATCCAAAAAGAGGTTTAGTTTTTGCAAGTCTGGATTCAAGATTTTACCCGATTGAAGTGATAATATTACACTGCGATATGTACAATGTTGAAGGTGTGATATAATACGCCAAAATGATTCTTGAAATTCACGCACTGTAATTGGACTCACGTCGTTTACGGTTTGATTTTTGTTTATTGGTACTTTGTTAAAGACTCGAAAGATATATGATATTATTCGAACAATACGACGAAATGAGGAAAAATCGTCAATAATTTTATTGATTATATGTTCATCGATACCATTGTTGCTACATTTCAAGACTGTAGGTTTTCGTTGTTCAAGGTCCTTTGCGAGAAATTCAGTTTTTGATGTTTCTTTTGGCCATTCTGCTGATTGAAGCGTCAAAAACTTTGGTCCACAAAACCAAATCGAATCCTTCAGCTCGCTTGCTCGACAGCCTCGAGATACTATATCAGCTGGGTTTTGCTTACTTGGGACGTGACTCCACGTAATGCCACGCGAATAGTCCTGCAGTTCAGAAACACGGTTAGCTACAAAACAATTTAAAGTTGACGAATGCATCTTCATCCAATGTAACACAATTTTAGAATCTGTCCAAAAAAAGATTTCATTAATAAATGGTAATATTTTGGGTTTTATTTGGTTCCAAGTTTTACAAAGAAGTACGGCAGCGCATAATTCTAAACGAGGCAGCGATACTGCTTTTATCGACGCCACCTTTGATTTCGATATCAACAACGAAGATTTGTAAAAACCATTATGCTTTGACCGAATATATACATTAAGACCGAAAAGTTTTCGGAAATTCTCATTTAAAATTCGCGCGCTGTATATTTTTCGATATTTTAAGTTTATGTAGTTTGGCAGCACTGTCCTTAATTACTATGCCAAAAATGAGCGCGATCTGTCAGACAGTTCGTTTACGGCAGCTGTTGAAACCAGTTCACCTCAGTAGGGCGTTGCGAAAAAAACAATGGAAAAAAATATTGAACAAAGAGTTTGCATCAAATTTTGTGTTTCGAACGAAATTTCGTGTGCAGAATCGTTGCGAATGCTACAAAAGGCTTATGGGGAATCAGTTTTATCGAAAACTCAAGTTTATGAGTGGTACAAAGCCTTCCAGGACGGTCGTACGACCGTCGAAGACATTTCGCAACGCACTACTGAGGTGAACTGGTTTCAACAGCTGCCGTAAACGAACTGTCTGACAGATCGAGCTCATTTTTGGCATAGTAATTAAGGACAGTGCTGCCAAACTACATAAACTTAAAATATCGAAAAATATACAGCGCGCGAATTTTAAATGAGAATTTCCGAAAACTTTTCAGTCTTAATGTATACAACATCCGAATGCTCGTTGAGAAGCATCAGCAAATCCGTGTACCTGACTGTTGCAAGCTGATGATGTTAAAACATATCTTGGCACTACAATGTGGTTAAGATATTCCAAATCAGATTGAATTTGTATCCATGATTGGTTTAGAAGTGGAGGCAATGGATCATCCCAACTCAGTTGATGAATCCATAATTCCTGTATTAAGATTTTACACCGTATAACAATAGGACTCAATAGTCCTAAAAGATCAAAAATTCGAGCAACAACTGATAAAATAGTACGTTTGGTCGCAGCCTTTGACTCTTGTTGCTTATATTGAAAGCAAAAAATGTCATCTGATGGCCTCCACGCCAAACCGAGAGTTTTGGTAATATCATCTTCGTTTAAAAGAATTTGGTATTCGTCACTTGAGTTTACCCAACTTTTGTGGTTGGAGCTCCATTTTGCCAATTGTAATCCTGCATTTGCTGCTATCTTAGTCACTTGTGATACTTTGATGCAAAGCTCTTCAACTGTGTCTACTCCCGTTAGCAAGTCATCAACATACAAGTCATTGCTCAAAACTGAAGCTCCAATTGGCATCTCCTTTTGATACGTATTTGCAAGGTAAGTCAGGCTTCTGATGGCCAGAAATGGTGCTGCTGACATTCCGTAAGTTACTGTGTTGAGCTGAAAAAGTTGCAGAGGTTCATTAACAGTATTTCTCCAAATAACTAATTGGAAATTACGATCTCTTGGATCAACTACAAACTGTCGATACATTTTTGATATATCCGCAGTCAGTGCATAGCGATGTAAACGAAATGTCAATAATGTCAAAATAAGATCCTGCTGAATTGTAGGTCCCACCATTAAGATTTCATTAAGTGATCGACCCGATGATGTGCGTGCAGATGCATCAAATACGACGCGCAATTTTGTTGTGGTACTTTGAGGCCGCAATATGCAATGATGAGGTATTATATAGTGCGGTGTGATATTATCAAAGTTGTCGACACGACTCATATGACCTAACATCAAATATTCTTGCATGAACTTAACATAATCCTCTTTGAGAGTGTGCTGACGCTCTAATCGACGCTCAAGTGAAAGGAATCTTCGTTTCGCCATTTCAAATGATTCACCTAAGACTTCTGGAGACTCTTTAAATGGTAACCGAACTTGTATTTGATCATTACTTAAAATTGTGGTATTTTCTACAAAATGTTTCTCACAATCCAACTCCTCCTTAGAGTAATTAAGTTTTTGATTGCTTTCTAATTCTTCAATTTTCCAAAATTTTTGTAACATTGAATCTATATTAGACGACTGAAAGTATTTACAAGTGAGTGCTCGGACAGTAGGCGTATTTTTGTATTGTCCTCCGATGATCCACCCTAATTCGGTATTTAATAAACATGAAAGGCTGGTGCCTAACGCAATTTTCCCATCTAATATTAATTCAAAAAATCCCTGCGTACTTATTAATAAGTCAATGTGTTGTGGTTTAAAAAATAATGGATCAGCTAAAACAAGGCCTTCAGGAAAATTCCACGATGTTGTGTCTATCAACTGCTCTGGATGGTTCAATGAGATACGTTTAGTGACAGCGAATTGCGATGACCATTCAAATTTTGATATTCGAGATTTTATAGTTGCAGTTATTGAATGGCGAATTTGTGTTCTAACATCACCAATGCCTGACACTTCCTGGTTTATTCGCTAAAATGGTAATTGAAGTTGCTTTGCCATCTTTTCAGTGATAAAACTTATCTCTGAACAAGAGTCCAGTAATGCTCGTATAGGTTGGTATAAACCGTACTTATCCTTAATAAGTACTACAGCTGTGGGAATCAATGATCGTTGTTTAGTACGCGATACTAGAGAAATTGATGGAGATTGCGGAAAATTTAGTTGTCCAGGTGGACTGTCTGACAAATTTGGTCTCACATTTTGCTCGATGGGTTTGAATTTATGCAAACACGTATGATGCATACCATTGCATATTCGACAGCGAGCTGTGGATTGACAATTTTTAACGACGTGCCCTTTGCGTAGACAATTTAAGCGTTAAAAGTCAGTTTTACAAACGATGGACATGATCCTAGGCTGTGGTCTCCTCCATTACACTTCATACAATTGATTTTGGTGTTAACAAATGTGGTCAATTTTCTGTTAAAAGAATTATTTTTGGTATCATTTACTTTATCATCATTGCATCTTTTCGAATTGCTTTCCAGAAATTGACATCTTCGACTCAAAAGTGTGTAGCAACTTTCCCAAGATGGCAATGACTCAAAATCTTGCTGAGAATCATAAAAAATTTTAGTTTCGTTATCCACTTTAGACAACACTAAATGAATAATTATGGCGTTCAGAATGTCTGCTTCCGAACCCAACGATAGAAGTGAACCAAATAAAGCAGACACTGTATCTACAATATGCCTGAGTGTGATTGAGTCGCCCTTCGTCATATCTTTAATAAAAAAAAAGAGAATTAATATGTTCCATAAAAATTAAGACCTTTTTGTCATATCTCAATTGTAATTGCGTTAGAGCTTTTGTATAATTTTTCTCGGTTATTTGAAATGGTTGTAATACGCTCAACGCCGCACCCGAAACACAACTTAAAAGATAATTAAATTTATCAATTGTTGTTATCGACGGGTCGTTGTGAATTAAATTTGTAAACGCAGAGAAAATCGTTTATATTCGCTGTATTTACCATCAAATCTTGGCAATTTCAATGCTGGTAAACGACTATGATGTGAGGAGTTGTTTAAAATCGACGAATTCAATACACTTGATTCATGTATCGGCTTTATTTTTTGATTGTTGATTGTGGACACAATAAGTGATTTTATGCTGACATATATGTCCTCTAATTTGCTACGCCTATCATCATCCGGACATGCTCGTTCAATTTTACTTTGTATTTGACAAACTTCTGTAAAATACAATTCCAAAATTTGCAGTCGACATTTTAAAATGCTAACATCCACATACGCTAATTCCTTCTCTACCTTCGCCTTTATGCTTAGAATGTTTCGTTCCACTGATGTTCGCTCTTGTTTTAGTGAAGAGAGTTGCTCAGTTACTGAGTCATTTCTTCGACGAGTCATTTTTGCAAGTAAAACAATAAGTATAATTAATTTCCAAAAGAGTTTGATGATATGCACGCAATTGAGTCGAGTGTGTTTAAAAACCGCTAAATACGAATTTCACTCAAATGCACATGTGCTTGGGTACAAAGTCCGAATAACGAACTGTTCAAAGTGCCGCTTTTTCAACCAAATAAACAATTAAGACAGCTCTCGATGCCGCACAACTGCACCAAAGCGAAATTGCAAAATGTACAAGAGCGCATTAAGAGCGCGATGTGCTGTGTTGTTCCTACAACACAGAGTATAAATGAATAAACTTAACGGTTTTCTAACGCGAGAACACGCCACACATAATTGGCCATGTGAAAAGACCTGATTTTCTAGATCTATGCCACAAATCGAAATTGTTTGACCTTGTGACTTATTAATAGTCATGGCAAATGCCAAACGAATTGGAAATTGCAATCTGAATGGAATGGGTGAGTCTGAAGGCATCATTGTAATTCGTGGCAGGAGAACAGCGTCACCTTCAAATTTGCCATTCAAAATTGTAGTTTCAAGTACATTGCCCATAATTTTTGTTTATGACTAATCTCGTTCCGTTGCATAGCTTAGGTGCATTTAAATTCCGCAGCATAATTATAGTTGAGCCAATTTTTAATCTTAAGTTATGTGGTGGCATTCCTGGTGAATCCAGCGAATTTAAAAATTCAACAGGATAGTTGACTGCTCTTCAGGATCGGTAACTGTGTCGATCGATTTGAACAATATATTATTGCCGGGTAATGACTGTTGTATTTTGCAGTTAATAGCATCAACATCGATATTATTTGCGGCTGAAATCTTCACAATGTCACGCATGATTAATATAATTAGCTTGTAAATCTGGAAATATGCTTTCAAGCAAAGTATCTTTCTTATCTACCATGTTGCAGAAATTGTCTGGCAATTTGATGCATTGTGTGTCTCCATGCAATAGTATTGTTCCATTTCCAATGTTGCTCGAAAAATGATAGTCCTAATGGATCGTTTTGCAGTTGAACACGTATATTTGTGTTAAGACGTAATGTATAAACATTTTGTCATATATATGATTGTTTTAAACACGCATTAATTTCATCCGCATATGTAGCGCGTGGAGTGATCGGCAATGTCTGTCTAAAATCACCGAATAGCAGCAGTAAAACACCACCGAAAAGCCTGGTGTTATTATTTAAATTTTTCATCATTCTATCGAGAGCTTCAAGTGAATGCTTGTGGGCCATAGTGCATTCATCACAGATAATAATTTAGCATTTTTGAAAAACTTTAGCCAGACCGAAATTCTTTTTTATGTTGCACACACCATCTGGATTTGTGTTAACGTTCAACGGCAACTTGATTGCTGAATGTGCAGTCCGTCCGCCATCAAGCAAAGTGTCTGCAATACCTGATGAAGCAATTACTAACGCAATATGATTTAATGATCGAATGCGTGCAAGTACTAGTGAGATTAGAAACATTTTTGCAGTGCCACCTGGTGCGTCCAAAAAAAAGAATCCATTTGTCCTGCTGCAATTGACAAATTAATCTGAACGTATATATTCTTTTGTGCATCAGTGAGTAGTTGCTCATTATTTTCAACGAAAGTAGTTAAATAGACCGTATCGAACTGTTGTTCGCGCTGAATATCGCTGTTAATGATGTCTGTTGCTGGGCGGTTAGGTGAGGGCATACCAAAACGAATGAGTGGCATATTCGAAATCAGAATGCAAATATCTTCAATCTTTATTAGCAGCTCGCCATACATTTCCGGCGAAAAATGAATGTTGGGATCTTGATCAGCGATCCGAATGCGATGCAGAATGTCGTCATATCATGGAATCTTTATATTTGTTCCAGAGATTAGAAGCTTGAGATTGTAAACATGTCGTCAATAATATGGTGAATAATTAGCGAATTTGAAGAGGAGAAGAACTCAATGCTGCATCTGCAAGAGTAATATCCCAATTGTTGTCATCTTCCAGCAAATGCAATTCCCGACACGCATCATGATATGTGTCGTACAAAATGCCATTGACTGTTCGCAAATATTGGAAGGAAGTCGGTCCAGGAACATTAACCAACAATAAACGCAAGAAGAAACATTCGCGTTGCTTTGGATGAACTGTAATTAAAAGAAGAGTACCGTCGAGTTTCATGTTCAAATCTTTATTAAATTCTGTACTTAAAAATTATTATACTTAACGTCTATGTACATAGCGACACAGCGCATGTACATAACACTTATACTAATACATGTGCAAAACGTCGCAGCGCAAGCACATGCAGTTTATATTAAGTGTGCATAAACATATTTGACTAGCCAGCACATTCCACGACGCTTATCGCGTGGTGTCTAATTCCCGTTGCATAAATATCGCAAACAAAGTATGGGAATAAACTGAAGATTATTTATGTGCTGTGTCAATATGTGTATGCGCACTACACCTCCCCTTTTTAGAGGAATAATGTAATAACTATGTTAAGAAATTATTCTCTAAGATAAATGTTATGTATATTAATGTAAGTTAATAAGTTAAGTATGTTAAGTTATACATTTTGTGTCAAAAATTTTATTTAATTAATTTTTTTTTTTTTTTTAATTTTATAACATCATTAAATCTAATTAATTAACTAAATCTATGAAAATAATTATTCATTAAATAATTTTAACCTATCCTTATGTACCATTTGTGTTTTCCTTTTATTATTTTGTATTACTACATTACCTTTTTCGACTAAATTTATTACTGTAAAAGGTCCTACGTATTTATTGTCTAACTTATGTCCTGCTTCATTTTTTAATAATACCTTATCTCCTACGGTTAGCTCTATATTTCTTGTTTCCTTATCATAATTTTCTTTTTGTTTTATTTTGGCCTTTTCGAGAAGCATTTTTGCTCTAGTATAGGCAGTTTCTAATCTAAATTTTACTTCCTTACTATAATCTTCTATATTATAAATAGGATCTACTTGGGTTATTTTACTAAATGTTTAAAAGTTATTAGGAACTCTTCCATAGACCAACTCGTATGGACAATATCCATGTACACTTGAAGGAGTGGTGTTAAAACAATACGTAAAGTATTTTATCCACTCGTCCCAATCACTTTTATCAACATTAATGTACGATCTAATGTACTCGTTGAAAGTTCGGTGACTGCGTCCAACAGTCCCTAGTGTTTGGTGGTGGTGAGCAGTCGATGTAACATTGTTAATTTTTAAATATTTACAAAGATCGGTCATTATTGAATTTTTATATTCTGTTCCCATGTCCGTAATGAACGTCTTCATTGGGCCATGTACCAGTATAAAATTTTCAAATATGGCCTTAGCGATCGTTTTTGCGCTTTTATTTGGTACAGGTATTGTTACCAAATATTTAGTTAAGTCACATATAATAGTGACGGCATGTTCATTGCCATTTTCCGTTTCCGGTAATGGACCAATGGTATCGATTAGCACAATATTAAACGCGTTGCTAGGCGTTTCTGTCGACGTTAGTGGGGTTTTTGAATGTCTTATAGTTTTGGACATTTGGCATTGCTTGCATGCCTTAATGTACTTAGATATATCCTTTTTTATATTCTTCCAGTAAAAATATCTCTTGATTTTTCCGTACGTACGTGTAATTCCTGTATGACCACCTTCTGCGGGGTCATCATGATATCTCGACATTGTACTAAGTATTTCTTCCTTTTCTCTTTCGTTTATGATGGTCACCTTAGGTAGTAGCGCTATTGTTAACTGTCTTAATGCAGTATTGCCCATTTTTTTAAATAATTGTTGCGAAATAGATTTAAAGATTTGTTCGCTAGGTGCCATTTGAACTTGAGTGATTTTTCGTATACCGGCTTCTTTTTCAAGCCGTATGAAGAATTGATTTATGTAGATCAAATTTTTCATTTATATACAAATCGTCCATATATATTCGTGTTATAACTGTTTTCCCATGCTTTAAATAGCATTTATTGGTAGACAATTTTAACCTTACGAATTTTTTAACGTCATTATATTTAATGACTTCATAAACGTTGGGCTTATATTTTATTTTCACATTATTTAAACTTAGTGTGTCGTTACCTGCGCAGGTTTCTTTACTTTGTCGAGTTTCGGATCTGGTAGTAACTTTATATATTTTATCCATTTGAACAGTTTGTTCTTTTAGTTGTTCCATTGTAATTCGTGAAAGTACGTCTGCAACTTGGTTTTGCTTCCCCTTGAGGTATTCAACTGTAAAGTCATATTCTTCCAGGTCTAACCTCATTCTTGTTAGTTTAGAGGTTGGATTCTTCATGGAAAATAAATATGATAATGGTCTGTGATCTGTTTTGACCAGGAATTGTGTCCCATAAATATACGGTTTAAAATGAAGTATTGCCCAGTGAATTGCTGTGAGCTCTTGCTCAATAGTAGATTTATTACTATCCCCTTTTGTAAATGTTTTTGATGCAAATGCAACTGGAAGTTGAACTCCGTCATACATACTTTACTTGCATCAGTAGTGATGCAAAATTGTTTTGAAAAATCGGGGTATTGCAACAGTGTGGGTTTTAGTAATTCCCTTCTTAGATGGTTGAATGCCTCATTGCATTCTGTTGTCCATTTAAATTCTACATTTTTCTTGCATAGTTGCGTTATATAACGCGAATAGTAAGAAAAGTTTTTAATAAATCTTCTGTAATAGTTGCAAAATACAACGATTCGTCTAGCACCGTCAGCGTTTATTGGTATGCGATAGTTTTTTATAGCGTCATATTTTTTGTCATCCGGTAGGATGCCTTTATTTGTACACTTATGCCCTGAATAAGTGACTTCGTGCATAAAAAATGAACACTTTTCTAGATGTAATTTCAGGTTATGCTCTCGACATAGTTTGTTAAATTGTTCATCATGTGCTTTTCAGAACATCCTATTACAATCAAATCATCCATATATAGAAAAGCTTCAGTTGGCTCTAGGCCAGAAAATGCTAACGTCATCATACGCTGAAAGGAATTTGGTGCTATTTTTAGTCCGCATGGTAGTCGTTTGAAACGATACGAACCAGTACTAATTGAGAAAGAGGTGACATCTCTTGATTTTTCGTCAAGTTCGATCTGGTGAAATCCGGACATTAGGTCGAGACATGAAAAATATTTTGCTCTTCCCAATTCATCGAGTATGTCTTCTATTATAGGGAGTGGAAATTTGTCTGCAAGTAATTTTTTATTTATTTGGCGGTAGTCTACTACTAACCGCCATCTTTTCGTGTTTGAATTGGGTAAAGCTTTTTTCTGCACTAGTAAAAGTGGGCTATTGTATTCTGACTGGGATGGTTCCACTAAACCGTCGTCTACTAATTTTTGGACCTGTTTCTTAATTTCATCCTTATATGTATATGGGGTTCTATAATTCTTAATATATATTGGTTCATCATCTTTAAGTCTTATTTTTTGTTTATAAAAATTATTTGTTGTTATTGGATCTGATTCGAGTCCAAAGACATCACTGTAACTATTCAATATCTTAGTTAATTGTGCCTGAAATTGTTTTGGAAAATTTTTACTGAGTATTGAGAGTACTTCACTTTTTCGGTTTTCTTGAGTTTTATTATGGTTTGTTATTTGGTAATTGGAAAGACTTTCTGTCGGATTACTATTGAGACTTAGTGTTTTATTTGTTGTATTCGTATTTATAATACGAATAAATGGGTTTTTGGTATTAACAATTGTATTGGCAATCAGTATACCTGGTTGCGGTTCCTGATTGACTACTAATACTTGGTTTTCTTCCGAGTCAATGAGAACGTGCTGGTATAATAATTTTGTTATCCGTATTAGAGTGAAGTATCGGTAAGTGAATGTTTAGACGTGGAGTTTCATGTTCAAATCTTTATTAAATTCTATACTTAAAAATTATTTTACTTAACGTCTATGTACATAGCGACACAACGCATGTACATAACACTTATACTAATACATGTGCAAAACGTCGCAGCGCAAGCACATGCAGTTTATATTAAGTGTGCATAAACATATTTGACTAGCCTGCACATTCCACGACGCTTATCGCGTGGTGTCTAATTCCCGTTGCATAAATATCGCAACAAAGTATGGGAATAAACTGAAGATTATTTATGTGCTGTGTCAATATGTGTATGCGCACTACAGAACTGTGTGTAATAGGCCTAATGTATTTTCCATAAATATACCGTTGTATCCTTCAACCGGAACATCTCGCTTTCGTGGTTCCCATTTTTTTGACTGTTTGTTCCATGTGAAATATCGTGGCACATCAGTATACATCAGTATATATTAATGTGTTTGCGAATCGACCGGGAATATTAATGTGCGAATTGCACAGTTCAAAAAACTCAGTTAATGTGGTTTTTGGGGCAATTTATGCCTGCCGTAGAGCAGTCTCTTTCGTGAAATAAACACGCTGTCCATTTTCAAGATGCACGGCCAAATGTATAACAGCAGGGTCTCTTTCGTGTATCGGAAAACTCAAAATACGTCAAACTGCTTCATTGCTGCTAATGTATGGGCCCATTTGATACCGTGTTATTTCATCGATTTCGTTAACATTTTGAACAGCAAAAATAGCCATATCACTGCCCTTATGGACATATTTGCATATAATTTTATGGACTTCACTGAACTGCAGAGCTCAATGTTTATGTGTGTTTTGTAGATTGTACACAGCAATGATGAATACGGAATCACCCAGTGATTGTCAATGTCAACTATTGTACCGTTTGACATGCGTAATTGATGTGATTGACCACCATGGTCAGTGTCTCGACGACGACACAATGGATAACCATCGCTATCAGTGATTGTATTTTTTTGAAAACAATAGAAAATGTACGTATTGTCCATGCACAGCGTCGTCATGTTTATAGCACCGCATGGACCATGGATTATGTCAGCGGTAACAATGTCATACAAGTGTAATGGTTATAAAATGTGTAATTGTAATGTTATGGTGATGATCTTAATGCTTCGCCATGTAATGGTTGCAGGATGTTAGGATCGTCAAGATATAATAGCAGGATTGTTAGATAGAGTCTTCTCAATTAATATCACCAAATAATGTCTGAGTCCTGAAAGGATTCAAGGATCACTTATCGACCAGTGTAAGTGGAAACGACCTATCAGTATAGAGGAGAGTATTACTAAGCTCTTCAGCCGCTTATTGTTCTTTCAGCATCTTTCCTTCAGCCGCATAGAACACGATTCAAATAAAAGACGTAACCTTGTCTTAAGTTAAATTGAATCTATTTTATTATCAAAAATTATGGGTATTTATACTTATTCTAGCTTATTTACTAAACAATTACTATTTACTTTTTGATTGATTTGAGTAACCAATCAATGCATTGGTTACTCCCAAAAATTACATTAATTATTTTATTACATATATTTTATAAACAAATACTCTTCTAACGCATTACAATAATACGTCATATATTGTTTTTAAAGAGTTCATGTACTTTCTAGAATTTAGGTCGGAATAGTGCAATGACCATACATGCTTATCATGTCTTATGTTACAAATGCATATTTGTAACAGCATGAGTCAAAATATTTCTTTTAAGTAATATGATCAAAGTCAAAGCGTCAAACCGACAAAAGTGCATATTATAATTTATGACACATTTATTTTGTCTGAATGAACAGTGGCTTGTCACATATGATATTAACGTAGGTCATGGGCACTACACCCTACCCCTTTAGAAAAGTGTAAATTAATTGAATTGAATATTTAAGTAATTTGCACTACAAATTTTATATAATTATAAGTGATTAATTTTTCATATATCATATTTCTTAAATTAATAATTTTATATATTTTTTTTTTACATTGCTATAAATGTAATTATTATTTAATATGTGGATTCTTATCTAGTAAAATATGATATTATTATTTAATATTTCCAATATGTAGTATTCGTATAATTCTTACTTAATATGATATTACAAAATTTATTTATTGCTGCTTCTGCATTTTATTAAATTATTGTTGTGCAGTTCAACAAGTTTTTCATTCATTAATAATGTACTGTTTGTACCTTGTTGTGATACAATTTTATATGGGCCTTTATATGGGTTATCCAATTTCTTTCTGTTGCCTTTTTTGACATATACAAAATCATTTATTTTAAATTTTGCTTTATTAACATTTTTTTGTTTTTCTTTCATTAAATGTTTAGCATTAATTAATAGTTCTTTTGCTTTTTCTTGAGAGAATTTTAATTTGATTTTTAATTCATTAGCATAATTTTCAATATCATATATCGTTTGTTTATTTTTAATAATTTCACATGGTATTGCACATAATTTACCAAATACTAATTCAAATGGAGTGTATTTTGTTGTTGTGTGTGGAATCGAGTTGTAACTGTACACGTAGTAAGGAAGTAATTCGTCCCAATTGTTTATTGTTTTCATGGTCATCAAATAGTCAATCAAAACTCTGTGGTTTTTTTCAACTGTTCCTAATGTCTCATGGTGAAATGGTGTTGATGTTACTTTTTCTATCTTTAACAATTTACAAATGTTTTTTAGAAGTTCATTTGTGAGTTCTGTGCCCTTGTCAGTTTTCATTTTTCTAAAACAACCGTACTTAAGTATGAATTTTTCTACAATTGCTTTCGCAACATTGACAGCGTCTTTCGTTTCTAAAGGGATCGCTTCTACAAATTTTGTTAATTCACATTGAAGTGTTAAAATATATCTATAATTGTTAGATGGTATTAATGGGCCTACAGTGTCTATTGTTATTACATCAAATGATGTGTTTGGTGTTTCGGTAATTTGGTATTCTTCTTTTGTGTGCCTAATTATTTTAACTCTTGCACATGTGTCACAGTTGTTGACAAAATTTTTTACCATTTTGTTCATGTTTTTCCAAACAAATTTTTGTTTTAATTTATTTATGCATTTCTTAATTCCACAATGTCCTCCATGTAGAGATTTGTGATATTCTTTTATTAATCTGAGCATTTCTTTGTATCTTCTATTCGTTTCGGTGGTGTATATATAATTATGTCTAGACTTTCTTTTAATTTTAATTCATTTTGCAGCTTATTAAATATTTCTTTCAGTTCTTGCAACTTTATTTCATTTAATATTTCATCATTTTCTGCTAACGCTAGCTTTGTAATTTCTAAGTTGTTCATTTTGAATAATAACTTCTTCAGAATCAATTTTATCTCTGATAATGATTTCTCGTTGTATTCGACAACTATTTTATTTGCTGTTATAATATTTATTGCACTTTTCACTTTGATCGATGTTTTGATCTGGAATTTCTCCTGAGATAATGTAAATTATAAGCGTTTTTATAATTGGGTTTTGTGATCTTTATTTGATTTTATTTACTTTATACAATTGAATTTATACAATTTCGGTTATTGATTGTTTAATCACTTTTTTGTGTGTACCCGTGTGTTGACACGTTCGCGATCGAAAAACAAGAGACAGAATCAAACCAACGGAGTTTACTTGCAGCCAAAAAATATAACAAAAAATTGCTCATCTCGAGCGCAAAAAACAAAAGGCAATAAAAACAAGAATTAGAACCGTTGGTTTGATTACATCTTATACAGGGTTAGTTAGATAAATTAATTAACCATATATTAACCATATAAATATTATATATGAATTATATAATATATTAATTATAATAATTTAATTATACAATATGTGATTTACAATAGATTAAAATATAATAAAATATAATATATAAATCATATAAGATATCAATTATAATAATTCTACAGAATCCTACAATATTAACAATTTGACTTTAACCGCTCTAACATTCCGCCCCCCTTGAAAGGATTTTCAATTGGTAACAGTGCGAGTTTGTGGATTGGACGGCGTATTACTCCTTTTGGGGTTTGCACATCAACAACACGAACCAAATTATCTGGACCCCTGATGCAATGCACGATTCGGCCCATCAACCAGCGTTGTGGAGGCATATTGTCTTCTTGGATTAGAACCAGAGCCCCCTCGGTGATGTTAGATTGTTCTTCTGTCCATTTGGTGCGTATCTGCAGCTCATTCAGATAGTCTCTAGACCATCTGCGCCAGAAGTGATGTTTGACTGCGGTTATACGAGACCATTTATCAATTAATGAAGCAGCTTCATACTGAGGACTTGGTTCAGATAAAGTTTTGAGCGGCCCACCGATAAGAAAATGTGCCGGCGTTAGCGCTTCGTAATCGCTCGGGTCACAAGAATGAGGTGTGATTGGTCGCGAATTTAAGATGGCTTCGATTTCAATCAGTGCTGTTCCAAGCTCCTCAAAGGTGAATCGAGTATTTGATAGTGTTCGATACAGATGGCCTTTCGCGCTTTTTACAGCCGCTTCCCATAGACCTCCAAAGTGAGGTGCTCGGGGCGGTATAAAATTGAAATTTATGAATTGGTTGCTGCAAAAGGTCTGCAGCATCACTTGATTAGACTTCTCGAAAAACATCCTTTTTAACTCTGCTAGTTTGTTGTTAGCCCCAACGAAGTTTGTAGCGTTATCGCAATAGATGTCTGATGGTAACCCTCGTCTACCGATTAACCTTTTCAGTGCTGCAATAAATGCCTCCGTAGATAAGTCTGACACGGCTTCGAGATGAGCTGCCTTTGTAGACAAACAAACGAACACGGCTATATAGGTCTTATATGGAACCCGTCCCCGAATTCGGAGATACGTTAATATAGGACCGCAAAAATCTACCGCAGTACGCGCGAATGGACGACTTGGAGTGAGGCGTTCGATTGGGAGATTACCCATCATTTGATTAAGTAGTTTGGGTTTATAACGCACGCAGTGAATACACGAGTGCACGACTCGGCGTGCAATTTCTCGAATATTAATTATCCAGAAGTTTAGTCGAGTAAGGGCAATTAGTGCCTTTGCGCCTGCATGATAGTTGCACAAGTGTACATGCCGAACATAAAGTTCCACAAAATAACAGCCCTTCGGCAACAAAATAGGGTGACGTTGGCCTACTGAGATGTCACTCAGCTCGAGGCGACCTCCCACCTTTAGTAATTGATAACCGAATACATTGTCCAGGAAGGGATTTAGATGCTTTAATGTACCTTCGGCTGGGTTCCCTCGTTGTAGGCGTTGTATATCAATTTCGAAGAATTGCTGTTGGATGACCCAAATTATACAGTGCAATGCCTTTTGTAGCTGAATAGGTTGGAGGGTACATTCTCCGTTCTTCACTTTATTCTTGGTTACATGATAGAATCGCTGTACCTGCGCTATTACTCGTAGTATCTTAGTGTATGAACTATATCTTGACAATACCTGTAATACGTAGTTGTCTTCATTTGTGTTAACAAATACAACCTTTCGCGTCTCTTTATTGACTTCTTCCATATCCAGGTTGTGACATTTCAAATGCGGCCAGTATTTATCAGCGAGTAACAAAAATTCCGGCCCCGTGAACCAACAGGACTCTGTTAATTGGCGGATGTTACAGCCGCGCGACACAACATCTGCCGGATTGGATTGGGTAGGAACGTGTCTCCATTGCCCATTTGCGGTAATATCTTGAATTTCCGCTACTCGATTGCCAACGAATGCAGACAGGGTTGATGAGTGCTGCTTCAACCAATGTAATACAATCTGTGAATCAGTCCAAAAAAACGTTTCACCTTTAAATTGCGCAAATATTGGTTGGACCTTCTGATACAGTTTGGCAAGAAGTAAGGCACCACAGAGTTCTAGTTTAGGTAGCGACTTCCGCTTTATAGGTGCCACACGGGATTTTGCAGTGAATAGCCTGACCGTCACCTTACCTGATGTGTTTTGTGATCGGAGAAATATGCAGCAACCATATGCGCGTATTGAAGCGTCACAGAAACCGTGTACATCAACCTGTTGATAGTTTATGGATAGGCAGTATCTCGGCACCTTAATCGATGAAAGCGTTGTAAGATCTTGAATAAATGTTTTCCAAGCTGAGTGAAGATTTTGAGGGACTGACTCGTCCCAGTCCACACGCAACAGCCACAATTCTTGCATCATAATTTTTGCTACGAGTATGATCGGTGCTAGTAATCCAAGCGGGTCGAATATGAAAGACGCAAGGGATAAAATGGTGCGTTTTGTTACAATATGACCTGGTTGCGCATTGAACGAAAATAGGAAAACATCTTGCATTTGGTGCCACTTGATGCCTAGGGCGCTGGTGACTGTATCTGTATCAAGATTTAAACTCTTTGTTGTAGTATCGCTGATGAAGTCATGATGGTTTGAATGCCATTTGTCAAGATCGAAGCAACCCTTCTGTAGAATGGCCGTTAACTGATGTCTGATATTGGTGAGTTGATCAATGGAATCCGCTCCACCTAAGAAGTCGTCGACAAAGAACGATGATTTAATGAGTGCAGCGCCTATTGGGTATTGTGTTTCAAATTTGTCCGCCAAATATTGCAAACTCCTGGTTGCTAAGAAAGGTGCTGATGCAGTACCATAAGTGACTGTATTCAACTCGTAAGTACTAACAGGATCGGACTCCGTATCTCGCCAAAAAATATATTGGAATTTTCGATCTGGTTCATCTATCAGTATCTGTCGGTACATCTTAACAATGTCAGCCGTCAAGGCATATCGGTGCAAACGAAATTGAAGTAGCAACAAGTATAACTCCGGCTGAATTGTCGGGCCGACCAGTAGAATATCATTTAATGAACGTTGCGATGTTGTTGGACATGACGCATCAAAAACCACCCTCAGCTTGGTCGATGTGCTCGACGGTTTTAAAACACAATGATGAGGGATATAATAATGTGGTTCGTTGGTTTTCGGAGTCTCAACACGCGTCATGTGTCCGAGCTCTCGATATTGTTTCATGAATTCTTGATAATCTTGCTTTAGTGCACGATTAGATGACAAGCGCCGTTCTACAGAACAAAAACGGCGTAAGGCGATATTGTGTGTCAAACCAAGACAATCTGGCGAATCCTTGAATGGTAACCGAACGACAATTCTTCCCATCGCATTTTGGTGGACCGTTTCACGATATAATGACTCACACGCAACATGTGCTGGTGACCATGACTTTGCAGCCGGTTGCACTTCCTTTATCTTCCACATCATTTCTAATTGATCGGAAACTGTATCTTCAACTGATAATAGGCATTTTGCTGCTGGTGATGCAAATGGCTGACCCTTGTACTTCCCAGATACGATCCATCCTAATAGTGTTTTTTGAAGTACTGGAAGATTTTCACCTAGTTTGATTTGACCGACAGACAAAATGTCAAAGAAACTTTCAGCTCCAAGCAAAAGGTCAACGCGCTTGGATTTAAAAAATTGGTCATCGGCGAGAGGTGTATTTGGTGGAACCTTCCACGACGATATATCGATTTCAGAACTTGGTTGATATGCGATGTGATTCGTAATACCAAAGTTTAAAGCAAGTTCAAGATTTGAATGACGAGATTTGATTGATGTGAGCGTCTGATACCTTATATTGGTCAACGAACTATCAATACTGGAAACATGCAGCCGATGTTTATGTTTTGATAAACTAAGCTTCATTGAAAACTCCTCCGTTATGAAGTTGACCTGAGAGCATGAATCAAGTAAGGCTCTACCCACTTGATAACTTCCCGATGAGTCCTTCACTAAAACCAATGCAGTGGCTAGAATTATTTGCTCGGCCGATGACATGTTAAGATGGGAATGGCTGGCAACATTGTCGTTGGGCATAGCGGCGTGTTCTGTGCGTCGTGATGATCCGGCGCTCTTAATATTCGTTGGTAATTGCGAATGATGCAAGAGAGTGTGATGTGGCTTTGCGCAAACCTTACATTTAAACGTTGATGTGCAATTAACCACATGATGGCGTGGCGATAAGCAGTTTATGCAGAGTTTAAGGCCCTTCACCTTTTCAAACCTTTGAACCACCTCCAGTGCCTTAAAACGATGACAATTCTGTATTAGGTGTTCATTGCTAGAACAAATTGAGCAGGAATTGCTGGATGTAGATGCAACAAATGCGTATTGTTTTGAGCGTCTGTTAGTCTTGGAGTTAAGATTATTAGGTTTATGTTGTGGTGATGACTGATTGCCGTTTCCACTGTCTAGTGATTCGAGAAACTGGCAATGCCTATCCAACAATTTTGAGCAATCCTCCCAACTGGGTAATGTGTCGAAGTTACGCGATTCATTCCATTTCCTACGTGTAATTGCGTCCGTTTTTTGCATGATTAGCGAGATAAGTAGAGCCTCACATATTTGTTTCTCTGTACCTAGCGAACAGAGTGAACCATACAAAGCGGATGCATTGTTTACCAGACTACGGAGTTGTTGGCTTGACTGACCCTATACTGCTGGTAGATCAAATAGTGTCGCGATATTTTCGGCGAAGATTAGGCTATTATTGTCATAGCGTGATTTAAGCCTATCCAGAGCCTTTGGATAGTTTTCATTCGAAATAGGAAATGCCTGTACTGTCTCTAGAGCTTGACCAGTAAGGCAGTTCAGTAAGTGGTTAAATTTTTCAATATTTGTGAGGTATATTTCGCGATCTATGATTTGGAGAAACGAATTAATAAAATTGTTATAATCCGAGTACTTACCACTGAATGTAGGTAATTTTAACAGTGGTAATTTTTTACTTGAGGTGGGCATCATTGCTGTTACATCTAGCACTGACGCATTGTGGGCCTCTTCCTGCAGTTGAGACATGATTAATATTTTGGTGGAAACGTATAGGTCTTCTAATTCATCTCTAGCTGTGTCAGTTGCATCTAATTTCTCGATCAAAGTCTGAAAAGCTAGAATTTGTTTAAAATATGATTCTAAAATACCTAGTCGACATTTCAGTTCTGGCTGTGAAAGCGAATTGCTCTTTCCTTTGACGAACGCCTTGATCCTTGAAATGCTCGCTTTCGTCGAGGCTCGCTGTTGTTTTAGTTCTGACAGTTCTGCCGTAGTGGTTGGCTCTGCCGTTGCCATTGAAACAGTTGTAGATACCCGGGAACAGCAAAGGATTTGACGAAGTCGAAAAGTCACAATAGCAGCAGCGAACTTTCCGAAATTGAACTACTCTTACGGTGGTTGTTGTCAGACGCGACGTTGACGAACCCGCACACTAACTGATTGGAAGCAAATAATAACCAGTAATCAACAAGTAAAGTTATCTTGTTATTGTTGTAATTGTTGAACGCGACCTTGATGCGGACACGAGGTTCTATTTGGCGCTTAGCGGAACCTAAGCCAAGAACCATAGAATGCACAATAGTACACACGTACGATAGTATGTAGTATATATGTATAGATATACGATATTATTATAGTTAGCACGCGTTAGCTATATAACTGGTTAGAAGAAATATTCACCCGCGCACTTTAATGGTTACAAATTAACCAAAAACAATAAAAGCGAAAGTATGTACAATCAACAAGTAAAGGTATCTTGTTGTTGTGATTTTAACTGTCGAGCGCGATCTTGATGTGGACACGAGGTTCTGTTTTGAGGTTAGCGGACCTAAACCGAGAACCACCAATTGGACAATAGTATATACGTACGATAGTATATATGTAGTATATATATAGATGTACGATATATTATAATAGTTAGCACGCGTTAGCTATATAACTGGTTAGAAGAAATATTCACCCGCGCACTTTAATGGTTACAAATTAACCAAAAACAATAAAAGCGAAAGTATGTGCAATCAACAAGTAAAGGTGTCTTGTTGTTGTGATTTTAACTGTCGAGAACGACCTTGATGCGGACACGAGGTTCTGTATATACGTACGATAGTACATATATAGTATATATATAGATGTACGATATATTATAATAGTTAGCACGCGTTAGCTATATAACTGGTTAGAAGAAATATTCACCCGCGCACTTTAATGGTTACAAATTAACCAAAAACAATAAAAGCGAAAGTATGTGCAATCAACAAGTAAAGGTGTCTTGTTGTTGTGATTTTAACTGTCGAGAACGACCTTGATGCGGACACGAGGTTCTGTTTTGAGGTTAGCGGACCTAAACCGAGAACCACCAATTGCACAATAGTATATACGTTCGACAGTACACAGAATAGCTATCTGGAAGAAATGTACACACGCGTACACTAATGATTACAAAACTAATAAAAAAATGATTACAACACGTGGGTAATATTTAGATTTTTTAATAAATTAGAGTTTAATAACCACTATTCAACTTGCAAAAAGTCCTGTCACGGTCGCCAATGTAAATTATAAGCGTTTTTATAATTGGGTTTTGTGATCTTCATTCGATTTTATTTAATTTATACAATTGAATTTATACAATTTCGGTTATTAATTGTTTAATCACTTTTTTGTGTGTACCCGTGTGTTGACACGTTCGCGATCGAAAAACAAGAGACAGAATCAAATCAACGGAGTTTAGTTGCAGCCAAAAAATATAACAAAAAATTGCTCATCTCGAGCGCAAAAAACAAAAGGCAATAAAAACAAGAACTAGAACCGTTGGTTTGATTACATCTTATGCAGGGTTAGTTAGATAAATTAATTAATCATATATTAACCATATAAATATTATATATGAATTATATAATATATTAATTATAATAATTTAATTATACAATATGTGATTTACAATAGATTAAAATATAATAAAATATAATATATAAATCATATAACACATCAATTATAATAATTCTACAGAATCCTACAATATTAACAATTTGACTTTAACCGCTCTAACAGA